GAGTTCCAATAATTAGTTCTAAAGGTTTTGAAATCAATAAAATGAAAACAGTGCCCAAATTTATGCACCTGCCTAATTTTGTTAAACAATTATTGCACACTTTCTGTAAATCATATAAACTTCATTTCACTTCTCAAATATCACTGTTTGTCCCCTATATGATATATTTTACTGATTTTTTTATCCAAACAATGATTTATAAAGGTAAATCAGAAAAATTAACAAGGCTGCCCAAATTTTCACACCCCACTGTAGCTAAAATGAGCATAACTTAGGCCAAAGATAAAATTTTGCAAAGCAATATCTCAAAATAGCTAAACTGATATGAAAGATAAATTAAACAAACTGGAAAAAATGTAGATTTATTTAGCAAAACAAATAGTAAAGATAAAATAAGCAAGACTTGCACTAAACCATTATTCTGGCAGAAATATGATGGTTTTTACACATTTGTCAGAAACAAAATGTTGACTATAAACAGAAAGGCAACTTTATTTCTGTTTGTTTCACTTCTTGTCTGTTTACATGATGATGGTCTTATGATGATGATGATGATAATGGTAATGATGATAATGAATATGGTTTATGAAGGTGTTGTTGATAATGAATGGTGATGATGATGATGGTCTTATGAAAGTGATGATCATGATGATAGTGGATAATGATGATGTGATGAAGGTGGTGATGATGATGATGATAATGGTCTTGTGAAGGTGATGATGATGATGAGAAGGGTCTTATGAAGGTGATGATGATAAGGAATAATGATTATTATGATGATGAAGGTAATGATGATGGTCTATGATGACGTCTGTTTCCTGGATGAGTCCTCCCTCCTCTTCCTGCTGCTGCTGCTCAGACGGCTCTGCTGCAGTCGGTACGTCTTTCTGGCCTGGACTCGCTCCTTCTCCACAACTTCTGTGTCATCCAGAATCTCTAGACCTGGGATCTGACTGATCACATACAGCCTGAGAGGAACCACAGAGAGGAAGAGTCAGACCGAGAACAGGTGGACCGAAGACTAATTAAATGTTCATAACTGTTGAAGTCAATCTTAGTCAAAATGGCTACTACAGCTAAGTCAACCAGTCAACCAAAGGAAACACAAAATAACTATGACTCAGCAGAGTTCAAAGATGATGAGCCCCACTGATGATTCAGTGGGGCAGTATCTAACAGTCATACTCATCCTCAACACAAACTCTAAACATAAACTGATCATGAGTTTGGTGTTTGTAAGGGAAACATCTCTTTAATCACAACTCAGATTATAAGGAAGTAATCATTAATGTAAATCATCAAAAATAAACTTTTGGAGTCAGCCCAGGTTAAGATGGCTGCTGCAGCCAGCTGATCTGTGCAAACATAAATAACTCAGTTCATTTTACTCTGAGCACATACAGTACATCTGCTATTACATCACAATGTTATGAGTTTAGTTTAAGGCAGTGAGCAAAATAAAAAAACACAATACTTTGTTTTCAGTCTGTCCTAAATGAAGATGAATTTTCTGCTCATTAAGTCCTCTGTGGTTGTTTGTCGAGGGTGTGGACTGGTCCAATCATAGTTGTTCATAATAAAGCAAAGCTATTAAATTACAGGACATGAAACTGATATGAATATAGAAAACACAAGAGGAAATATTGCACTGCACAGACTGAGGCAGATGGTTTAAAGGATCTTATTTCATGTTGTCGTGCGATCCAATCTGTGTCACTGAGCTCTGACAGAGAGCCAGAGGGCAGGTGCATCTGAACACCTGTCACCTTTTTCACAACAAACGGTTATCTTCTTTGTTTTTTTGTGCTGCAAACCAATAAACAATGTTCTGTTTAAGAAAATGAGCCTGAAATAAAATCAACACATATAAAAAAAGGGGTTTGTTTTTGTGCTGTTGCATTTATTAAACACATGAGGGCGATGTTGTTCAGTGATTGAATGGATTTTATTGGTCAGTTACAAACAACAGTTACTTGTCTGCATGAGAGTAGATTTATCATTTACAGTTTCCTCTGATGTTTGTTTTATGATGAAATAATGAATTTTGGGCCTGAAACTGTTACTGCAGACAGTTACTGAACCAGTCGCTGTTAAAGCGGACAAAAATTCATCTTATGATAAGCAACTGCAACTTAACTGCTCCGGCAATGTAAATATTATATTATTTATGTTTGCATGGAGGGTTTCACCCCAGCATCCTGAGACTAAGAGAAATGAGGGAGGCAGAGGACTAGACCCTCAGGAGGAAAGCCCCCAATGATGAACTGATGAGTGAATGTCTCAGATAGGGCTGCCACAAACGATTATTTTTATAATCGATTAATCACCGATTATTTTTTCAATTAGTCGACTAATCGGATCATACGTTAATTGAATATAAAACATAGAGCTTATCGTGCCAGAATGCAGCTGCTATTATATAACCATCATTAGATTTTAGCTATATGCTAACTAAAAATAATTGCTGTGGAAGGATAGTTCTGCTCTGCAGATATTACACAGGTTTCTCTTTCATTTCTTAAAATGATCCCACACTTTGAGCTCTGTTGTCAGGTAGCCATGATACCAGAGCCTGTCTGTATAATTGTGATGTCCACGGCCTACCCCAGTTACCACTACTGTGCATGTGTGTCAAGGACAGAAAGGCAGATGTGGCAGTGGAAGGTGTCAAAGCAGTTTGGAGAGAAAAAACAAAGTAAAGAACAAAAAAAAAAACAATTAATCGATTATTAAATTAGTCATCGATTTTTTTAATAATCGATTAGTCGTCGATTAATCGATTAATTGTGGCAGCCCTAGTCTCAGACAGCTGAAACCCAGTGAGGAACAGCAGGAACCATCATGGAAAGATAATTCTCTACATCACACACATTACACTGCAGAGTCAGTGTCAATAACTACGTCACTACACTGCAGATTCTGTAGAATATTTCTGTATGCAGTACTTTTACAGCTGTGCTCATAAAGATTACACATTTTTCCTCATTTACTTTTTAAATCTCATTTTTATATTTTGATTATATTGTATGTTTTTTATCTTGAGTGTTATTTGTTTTATTGTTTTGCACCTTTTGTACTCTAGAGCTTTAATTTTGTTTTATTTTAACTTACAATTGCACTCCAACTCACTGCAATGCACACATTATACTACAAAGACAGTGGTACTATTTACCTCATGGACTATTTACATTTTACTATTTTCACATTCTGAACTATAATATTTCTATGTGCAATAATTTTACTTTGCACATTCTGATTAAATTGTTTCTTCTACAGACACTTTTTAAATGAAATTTTTACATTTTGCTTATGTTGTTAATTTTTATAACTGAATGTTCTTGCATTTTACTCTTTGTTTGAAATTTTAACTTAAATTTACAGATTTTAAAGCATCTCACTGCCAGTTGTACTGCGTTTTACTATTCATGTCTCCATCTCCATCTCCATCTCCTTCCGCTTAGCCGTAGTGATACCCTTAGCAACTCTGCAAGAATAAATATCTGGTCCACTGTTCCACAACCAGTACAGAAGCCACACTGCTCCTTTTGAATCAGAGGTTTGACGACTGACCGGAACCTCCCTTCCAACACCCTGGAGTAAACTTTCTTGGGGAGGGTGAGAAGTGAGATCCTACGATGGTTAAAACACACTCTCTAGTCCTCCTTTTTAAAAATGGGAACCACCACCCCGGTCTGCTACTCCACAGGAGTTGTCCCAGTCCTCCATGTGATGTTGAAGAGATGTGTCAGCCATGACAGCCCCACAACATCCAGAGCCTTCAGCATCTCGGGGTGAATCTCATCCACCGCTGGTGCCACCAAGGAGCTTTTTGACTACCTCAGTGACCTCTGCCATGGAAATGGACCTGAGTCCTAAAACTGCCTCCCCAGGTGGAGATGGAGGGTGGATTGAGGAGAACCTTGAAGTGTTCCTTCCACCRCCCAAGAATGTTTTCWGTCCCAGTCCCTACCCAAACCAAGTGCAGCCTGGGACAGGGAACATTTTACTTTTCTGAGTCACCGAATGGTTTGCCAGAATCTCTTCGAGGCCAGCTGAAAGTCCTTCTCCATAGCCTCCCTGAAATAGGGTTCAGATCAAGGAGACTGTTCCTCCCAATCACCTCCCTCCAGATAACTCTGTCATTGCCCACATGGGCAYTGRAGTCACCCAGGAGAACAAGGGYAACACCAGAGTAGGAGATAGTCCAGCACTTCTCCAGGAGTTGGGTTCCAGAGCCCAAGTTCTGAGTAGAGCCCATCTATATTCAGCTGGTAATGCTCAAYCTCTCCCACAAGCTCCGGCTCCTTACCCATGAGTGAGGTTACGTTCCATGTTCCAAGAGCTAGTTTTGTCTTTCCGCCAGGAATCAGCACGGCCAGGGACCCTCCTTTTGCCTGCTGCCTGGCATGCATTGCACCCGACTTTGATGGTCCTCCCCACTATTTATGTGACAAAAAAATTTTGATTTGATTTGAGATGTGGAGATCCCAAGTCACTAAAATATCAGTATGAAGGAGCAGCTGAAGAAATACCAAGAGCTGAAAATTGTGTGAGAGTCAAGGTCCCAGTGGTCCCAGTGGTCATTGGAGCATTCATTGCTATGACCCCAAAGAGCGTTGGCAGAGCTCTTTCTTAAATGTTGGAACACTGACACCAGAGTTGTGTGTGAGTTAGTCTGGATCCTGTTATTTATTTATTTATTTATTCCTGTTTAAAAAGGCATCTATGTCATTAAAAAACATGCCATGAAGAAGAGATGTAAAGTTATGTGTCTTTGACAGTAAATGAAACATCTTAAATGAAATAATAAATCCTGTCATGCTTCAAAGTGGACCCACCTGTAGTCCTGGTACTGAGTCAGACTTCCTCCATTGAAATAGCTAGGGGCAGCCTCGTTGTTCATCATACTCAGAATCCTGCAGTTCACAATGAACAGACAAGCTGTGCAGAAAAAAATGCAGACAACAGATCTTCAGCTGCTGACAGAAATCTCAGCTCTTACTTAATGTTGGGAAACTTCCTCTTGATCTCCTCCACAAACACAGGCAGGTTGTGGATCTGGTTCTTGTTGATGCACAGGGTGCTGATGCTCGGCATGTAGGGAAACTTGACATGAGACGTGTAGCTGTTGCAGTCCAGAATCAGAGTACTGAGTTTCTCCAGACGCCCCAACAGAGCCGGGTTTCAATAAGGACTGAATGAAGGAGAAAACACTCAAGCAGGAGGTCAAACACTGGACCAAACACTCACCACTTCATCTTATATTTTCTCAAGCTTTTCCTCTACAAAAGTGTTTACTGCTGCTGTCTGGTCTCTCATCAGACTCTTGTCTTCTGTAGATTTTCATTGTTTCTATTAAAATTTAAATCAGAGCTGCTTGTTCTTGAAATCAAAACTCTAAAACCCTTATATTAGTTTTTTTTTCTTCATTTGAAACAGTAAAGGATACTCATTGAGCAGGTTGTAGCTCAGGTCCAAGACCTCCAGCGTGTCYGTCTGTGTCAGGATGGCATCATAAGGGATCTCTGTGAGGCCCTGATAGGCAAAAGAAAGCCACTGAAACCTGGAGGCTGGACTGGTCTGGACTGCAGTCTGAGGATCCATGACTAAAGCCCCAGATCTGTAACACCTGCTCCTCCTCACCACACAGGATGGTTATGTCATGACCTGAACCTGAACAGGAATCAGAGCAGTTCATGGTTACCAGACATCTGTGAATGATGAAGATGATCAACTTATTTTCTTTGACCAACAAGGGATATTCCTTTATGCTAAAATGCAGAGTGAAGGCTGGGGGCCAAAATTAAATTCTTAAAGTTAAAAGGAGTACAAAAGTAACAAACATAAAAGAGTTTGATTAAAAAATTTAAATCACCAAAGTAAAAATCAACATTCTTGTTGTGGGTAAAAAGGTAAACGAGACAAGTGATTGACTAAATTTATTTCATGTGTCAATAGAGATCTTATCACCGAAGTTATGTTCCATCTGTTTCTTTCTCTGCAGTTCAGCTAAACAGTCTTTGTCCAATGAGGTATAATGACTCTAGGTGTCATGCACGCTTCAGTAAACAGTAAACAATGTAAACAGTTTGTCAGGGTTAGATTTCTGCATAGACTTGCATAAAAACACTATATTCTGCCTTTTAGAAACATCTTTTCAGACATGTGCACCTTGTCCCTGCCCTGAACAATATGGCTGCTTTCTAAACAAAGAAAAGTCGCAGGATAGTTCCTCTAGTCAATACACTCCATCATTGACGTTACGTATAAAAGCAGTGCCATCTACTGATGCAAAGTTATGACAGAACAGTGGTTACATTAGTGTGTAAAMTACAGAACACATCAGTGTGTAAACTACACAAATCATTAGTGTTTAAACTACAGAAACATCTGTGCATAAACTACAAAACACATCTGTGTATAAACTACAAAACACATTAGTGTTTAAACTACAGAAACNGTGTGTAAAAAAACAAAACACATCAGTGTGTAAACTACACAAATCATTAGTGTTTAAACTACAGAAACATCTGTGCATAAACTACAAAACACATCTGTGTGTAAACTACAGAACACATCAGTGTGTAAACTACAGAACACATCAGTGTGTAAACTACAGAACACATCAGTGTGTAAACTACAGAACACATCAGTGTTGGACTGAATCAGCACACACTCAACGAGTGCACTATTGGTTTTTGGACTTGATCAAATATCAGGACAAATTATTTCATCACAGCTTAAAATTTAATTCCTTTAAATTTTGAAGAAGCAATTTTATTTAACTTTCGAATATTCTCTAATAAAGCTTCACAACACCATTCATTTCCCAATAAATGATTATTTACATAGATATGTGTTCTGATTTGCCAGCAGGAATCTGTAGTTCTTCTGGTCAGGGGCTCCACAAAAGGGAGAGCTGTTTGGACTTGCTGCTAGTGTGTCATTTTTGTAAGAATTAAACTCTATTTCTCTTAACAAAGATTAACTGGATTGGCTCTCATTTTGATGGAATGCATCACCCGCCATCTTTTATCTTTTATCCAGAGCTTCAAACTGAGATCATTGTTTGATGGGAAATGACAGATGTTGTGATTTTGTGAAATGTCACAGTGTGTGTTGTCTCCACTACAACCACACCAAACTTCTGACGAACTGATTGGTCTTTAGCTATTTTGAGTTTGCTAAGGTTGATTAGCTGCAACGACTCCAAATGTTAATCAGTTGTAGATATTAATTAATTAATTAATATGTTTATTCATTTCATTTMATTTAAAAACAACAAAATTTATGTACAATAAAAAAACACAAATCACAAAAATAAAATGAAAGGCGACAGAMAGAAGAAAAAAATTGTATATCTGCGCCTTTTTTCTCAAAAAAATAAATAAATTTAAAAAATAATGATCTACTTTAATCTAATTTAATGATTTCATCCTTAGATTCGTGCAAACCGGTCCTGCAGTGAGCTTTAGCTAGCAAGCAAACAAGGTTTAAACAAGACTTAATGTTAAAGATTTCAGCAAAGATGCTGCACTGTGAACACACACACAATTCTGTATTTCTATCCATATTAGAATTGTTTATTGACTTGAATTGGCAGTAGTTTTTGGCCTAAACTTGACGTTTTACCCTTAACCAAACCCCTGACCCAAAAATGAAGTTCCAACATATTAGGACCAGTCTTTGATCCCTATAAGGACTACCGGTCTTGACAAGATTGGTGTGTATTTCAGAAACAGTCCTAAAATGGTAACAAATACAAGTACATAAACACACACTTCTAACTTTTCAAAGGAGATGAAATTATCTGTGTCCTGACCACAGAGCAATGATTTAATCAGGACCAACATTTTAAATCAGACAAAAAGAAAACAGGTCAGACTTTTAAGCTAAAGTAAAAATCTGTTTATCTGGTCAGTTTTAGTGGGACTTACCRATCTGAGGAGGATCTGTTGAATCTCTTGACTGAACCGGGCAGTTTGAGAACTGCTCCAGCTCAGATAAAGACCTCCTTTCAGACCCTGCTGAGGGGTCACATGACAGGGATAAGCTGTTTGCTGCTGGACCTTGTGCTTCAAACCCACTGACTCTGATCAAAATCAGGTTAACATGGATACTTAAAAAAAGACAACACCAGTTTAAAACAGATCACACAATGTTCTACTGAGYCCAACAACATCTGGAGCCCTGAAGATAAAACAGTCCCCTGAAAATCTGACAAATATTTAATTGATTCAAGTTTCAAATACATTTAGCTCAAGTTTAGACATTTGGTAGATAAAGTTTTATTCAAGATAATATGTAAAGTAAACAGGATCATTTAAAAAAATCATCCATCTATTTTACCCACCTTCATTTCAGGGTCACTGGTGCCCATATTCAGCAGTCACTGTGTGGGCTGTTGTGGGGTACATCCTGGACAGGTCTCCAGTCTATCATAGGGRCATAGTCCATGGGCTAGGGTGGGTCACTGTGCCCCACCCCACCTTCCCATACACACACTACTAATTTTTTCTGGTATTTTCATACGCCCTAGGGTCAACACTTGGATTGTTACCACCACCACCCGGGACACCTTTTTAACCACACCCTTTTTCATTGTGACCATCAAAGTTAGGGGAACAGAAAATTTAAATGCCAACAACTTTTCTATAGACCAACCAAATTTTTAAAACAATGTATCAGCTGATTCATATTGATTAGCTCTTCATTTTAAATGGCATTTCAGTTTGCACATGATGTCATCAGATGGTCAAAATGTTGCAACTCAACAGAAGATGAAAATTTTCATCTTTGATCTGAGTTTACCGACCCCAACTCTTCAACTTACTTTTTCATGCTCCTTCGGATCTACTTATTCAGAAAAAAAAACTGTTAACAAAATTATAGTTGGTAGGTACTACTCCACAGGGATCAGTTTTTGACGACACCCCTACATACTTTGTGCAAAGTTCAGAGTTATAAATTGCTCATCTAACCCAAGTCTTTCTTTATCTTATATCCAGAAAAAAAGCATTTTGATCTTATTTGGAGACTGATATATTAAGAGCAGACTTTTTAGAGACAAGTCCAGACACTTTTCTTAAAAGCTTGTTTCAGCAGGTTCTTTGGGTCATTACTCAAAGCTCCTGATCATAGGTAAAGCCCCTGTCACAATATGACGTTTTATGCCAACTTATAAAAATCGACATTGAAGATAGAATTGAAAAAATCAACTGGAAGCTTCTTCTATGTTTGTACATATTGTAATTGTAGCAAATCGATCATTTATTAACAATTTAGACATAAAAAAAAGTTTCATAAGTTGGCATAAGTTGTCTAGTGTGACAGGGCCTTTAGTGTTGGACCGTAGACTGATGGGTAAAAATGAGACCTTTACCTTTTGGCTCAGTACCTTTTTTTGTCTGGGGTTCATTCTTTTCCAGACGAGAACTAGGACTTCAAATATGGAGAAACTGCTCTGGTGTCAGCTGAGGGTCCTGGCTCCATGAGTCTGTTAAAAGTAGTGCACACCTCCTCTCTCTTCCAAACTGTAGACTCTACTTTCCTTTGAGATGCCTAGAAATCCATAAAGGTTCTGCCTTTGGTGCCAAAGGAAACCCTGAACCAGACCAGAACTTTTTGGAAACAAGTCGTACTTGTTCAAATGAAAATGAATCAAAGTCTGTCAGGTTGTGGAGGGACTATGTGGCCAAGAGAACTCAAAACACCAAAATATTCTAGTAAAACCACAAGAGACACGATTGTGAGTAAGTTTTCAAGTCATGGCAACTTTTATAACACGGAACATACTTTTATTTATGTTTAGGGCTGTTTTATGAATGTTTATTTTGGACTAAAATACTGTGAAAAACCTGAAAAAGAATGTGAGTACAGACATTGTGTCCTGGTCCAAGACAAAAACTGAACCATCAGACCCACTGTCTCTCTGTCCAGTATTTACTCTCATATCTCCCAAATCCTCAAAAATAACAGTCCACAGATTTATTTTTATTTTCATCTTTAACAATTGAGGTGCTTTTCATTTATAACACAGTGTCCCATGTATTTTGTGATAAAATAATTAAGGAAAAATAATTAGAAATACAGTATGTACAATGTGAAGAAAACAAATCAAAACAACTTTACAGGAAGATGAGTTTAAGTTTTATCAGAACCTGCTGCTTGTGAATCATTCAGCCTGCATCACTCTGAGAAAAACAACAATACTTTCTTATTCATACGTTTGCATACAGCAGATAATCATCTCAGTGGTTAAATAAAGTATATAAAGTGTAAACAAAGTATTTTTTTTACTTGGTGCATCTGGTTATAAAACACATCTGACATACTAAGTGAAGAGAGTACTGAGGGGACAGATCCTGTTGGCACCGGCCCATCCTCTAGAACCAACTTGTGGCTCAGTTTAGGGGCTGCAGCCTACCTAGACCATGGCCCCATGTAGGCCTTCACAGTCCAGGTAGGCTGCAGAAAAACTGCTGTGAAATGAGACGGTCTAGTCTTCATGTGACGTCTGTTTGTTTGACCATGTGCTACCCCATTACCACATGCCTTCAGACTAAAAATATATTGGGACATGTATTCACAGGAGGAATAACTTCACAAATAAAGCATTGCACAAAAATGTAAATTATTGTTTAGATTTAGCTCCAGTATCAGTACTTGTATTTGCATTTTATTTAACATCTTACTGCAGCATAAATTTAATTAGCTAAGTTGCTAAACTTACATTTAAAAACAAATTATTTGGTCCGTGATGGATTTCCAAACTATGCCGACTTGGTAAAAATAAATAAACCAATAAATAAAAATTCAGCTGTCTTTGTTTTTCTGTTTAGTTTGCTGATGGCATATTGAATCCTGGGATATCCTWGGATGGGAAGGATACTCAGGTACAGCCTTTATTTTTGGGGTTTTGTTCCCAAGATTCGTTGCACCTTCAGCAAACTAAACAGAAAAATGAAGACGGCAGAGGTTTTCTTAAATTTTACAGCAGAGTTTAAGTTTATTTTATGATATAGTTTGGTAAATGGTAAATGGTCTTAACTTATATAGAGCTTTCTCAAGTCCCGTCGGACCCCAAAGTCCTAACACTTCAACCATTCAAACACACATTCATACTGATGGTGGTAAGCTACATTGTAGCCACAGCTGCCTGGGGCACACTGACAGAGGAAAGGCTGCCATGCACCGGCACCACTGGACCCTCTGAGCACCATCAGTAGGCAAGGTGGGTGAAGTGTCCTGTCCAAGGACACAACGGCTGAGAGAATGGAACGGGGGATCAAAGCGGCAGCCCTCCGTTTGCGGTACAACTCCCCAAACCACTCTGCCACCGCCACCTCCAGATTGGAAGATTATCACAGAACAAAGTATTCACATTTAAATGTAAGTTTAGCAACTTAGCTAATAAAATTTTTGCTGCAATGAGACAATTAAAATGCAATTACAAGCACTCACACTGGAGCAAAGCCCAGACAATGTTTTTTATGTACATGGCATGTGATATAAAACGTATCACCATGATAACAAGGCAACGCGTGGCAATGCAAACATATGTCATCTGTAGACCGTCTCATTTCACAGTCATTTCTGCAGCTGACACTGGTGGCCTACGGCCCACATGGACTGTTGGCAATGTGGGTCACAACCCATGAATTGAGACACAGCCACTGAAACCTGAGCACCGGTCTGTCTTCCAGACCCTCCCACTGAAACACTTCCCCTGTTTCTCTTCAAATGTTCAACGAACACACGAAATGATGAGCTCTGCTGCTCCTGCAGTCTCTGGTCTGCCACTTGGCTCTTCTCCACACCAGGACACACTTTGTGCTGCCCTTCTGTTTGGAGCTGGGGGGCGTCTTCCTCCAATTGGTGAAGGTGACAGGCTCACCGCTGGCCCACTCCCACTGTCCTCGCCTCTCCCTGTCGTTCAGGCCTTAAGCAGTGAGGGGGAAAATTAGGCTTTTTACTTCAGTAAAATATGATTGAAGTTACATTAAACTACTTTATAAAACAAAATGTATAAAACCGTATTATAAAACAATGAAGCAGGATCACTATCAGCACTGTTCATTTCATTCAAGTAAATATTGTGCAGCTCACCTTAAGGTAAAAAAAAAGTTTATCTGTTCAAATGATCCATGCAGGTAACTTACCAACAAATGTCTGATATAAGAAATGAAAAAAATGAATAAAAATACATTTAATCTATAACTAGAATATTCCTATGTATGAAGAGGGTGTTATAAATGATTAAGACTTTATAACATGTTTATAAACTTATCAATATCTTTGTATAAAGCTTTAACAATGGGGTGTGGCGGGGGGGATCACTGCCCCGACCACCGATGACCACGGGCACTACAGCTGCTTTCACCTGCCAGGATAGTTCTTATCCCTGAGCCCTTGGTATTTCTCCAGTTTCCTTCTTCCTGGTGTTTCCGTCATCGGGGATGGCCACATCAATCACAATGGCTGTCCTCTGTTGATTATCAATGATCACAGTGTCCGGTTGGTTGGCCATTACCATCTTGTCTGTTTGAATCTGGAAGTCCCACAGGATCTTAGCTCGGTCATTCTCCACTATTTTGAAAGGTGATTCCCACTTTGACCAAGGGTCTACAGTTTGTACTCTTCACAGATGTTTCCATACATTATACCAGCCACTTGGTTATGGTGTTCCTTGTATTCCTTTCATGCTAGTACCTTACACCCTGCTGTGAGATGCTGGATTGATCCTGGGGATTCTTTGCCCAGCCTGCATCTAGGATCTTGCCTGCTATGGTAAATTGTCTGTGGCAATGTTTTGTGTAGGTTCCTGTTTTGAATAATTCATCCATTTTTATTTACATTCTTATTCCTGATCAGAGTTGCATGCAGCTGTTGTCTATCACCAGCAGTCTCTGGGCAGGAGGCAGGGAAATATTTTTAAAAGGGGCAAATTCAAACAATTAACATGGAACTCTGTTCTGTACCCAATCTACATATTATTGTAAGAGTGACAGCATAAACGACACACAGAGTGTAAAATACAGTATTTTTTTGGAAGATGGTCAAAGGTTTTTTTCCAGTGTGGACACAACTCCTAAATTGGTTTTACAGAGCCTGGCATTTTCAGATGGTCTCCCATCCAAGTACTAACCAGACCCAATCCTGCTTAGTTTCTGGGATGAAAAGAGCTGGCTTGTTCAGGGTGGTATGGCCACTATACAAGCAGTAAAAAAAATAATTTATT